CTACCTCCTTTCTTCCTTTTTTCAGTTTAATTTAATTTTTTTGCTGTAGGGTCTGTGCACTCACCAGAGGGAGACACAGACAGAGACCACCCAGAGAGGACGACCACGCCAGTCCTCTCTCCTCCACTGCTCTCCTGAGATCTGGGGCAAGCACTTGCGCCCAATGTGGTTAAGCAGCCACTGGGGCTGGAACCACGAGGCTGGGTATGTGGAGTCCAGTCGCCTTAACCTCCACACCACCTGCTGCCTGCTGCCCACACCCTTTCTGCCGCCTGGCGAACACGTGTAATGGCTGAAGCCCTGGCAGCTATCTTGGACCGTGAAGGGCACTATTGACAGCATTATGTCCACCAAAAAGATGTGTTGAGGCTGTGCCCCCAGCCTCGGAACGTGGCCAGCATGCGTTACGGGGAAATGAGCTGAGTCAGGGCCATGCTGAAGTGGAGTGGGCTAGTAGTCCCATGTGACTGCTGTCTGTAAGAGGAGACAGACGCAGAGAGGGGGGCACGTGAGGGCAGAGCAGAGACTGCGGCTGTGCAGTGGCTGACTGAGGACCAGATGTCCTTCCCCGACTTCTGAGGAGGCAAACTCTGCAGACATCACAGTCCCAGACAGACCTGCTCCTCCAGAACTGTGGGGCTCACTCAGAGGGTGGACAGCGGCGTGGCCAGAAGAGGCTGGGCCTCAGTGCCTGGGGGCTGCCACTCTCAGGCCTGATGATCTGGGGGAGAGAGAAATAAGCTCTCCTCTGCCTGGGCACTGCAGGTGACCTGGGGGTTCTTTATGTGGGTCCCAGCTGCTGCCCAGGTGCTGGAGACCTTGTCTGTCCCCATTCTGCAAGGGATGCCCACATCCGCTGATGCCGCAGCCATAGAGCATGGTCTTGCTCTTCATCGGGGCCCAGGCACCCCAGTGGGGAGGGTCCTGGCCATGGCCCTTCTCCTGGGGGGCCCTTCTCCCACAGCAAGGAGGATGCAGCTGGGCTCCAAGGGCAGGGGTGTCTTTATTGAAGCCACAGGGGCACCAGGAGGAGGCACAAAGGCCTGCGGCTCTCTGGCTCTTGGCTGTAGGTTCAGTGGGCCTGGCAGGTCCAGAGCGCTGAGACAGACCAGGGCAGGGGCATCAGAGGGTGATGCTGTCCTCGTACAGCGACAGTAGCAGCAGGACGGTCCAGCCGCCCAGCAGGCCAAGGTTGTGCAACAGGAAGAGGAGCCAAGGCCGCTGGTCCCTCTCGTTCAGCATGGCCGGGAGCTGGGGCGACAGGGGCATGGGTCAGCGCCAGCTCAGCGCCACATTCTAAGGCAGCCCCCTCCCCGCCGCCGCCCTGACCATGTCGCAGAGCGCCACGTAGAGGAAGAGGCCGACGGCCACTGCCAGGATCCAGGCCTCGCTCTCCTCGCCGATTCCGACCGCGAGCGCCAGGAAGAGGCCGGCGAAGGCCGTGAGCGCCGAGGCCAGGTTTAGCAGTAGCGCTCGGCGCACAGACAGCCCGGCGTGCAGCAAGGCGGCGAAGTCTCCTGGAGCGGGTGTGCGCGTCAGCAGCACCGCCCACCGACCCGACCCTGCCCACCGGTCCCGCCCTCCGCCCGGCTCCCAGGCCGCCCCCGCCCGGCAGGCCCTGT